AAGAGAGAAAAGAACGGAGTATCTCGTGAATTGGGCTGGTTATACACCTGACGGAGCCACGTGGGAGCCAGCAGTTCACATTCCTGCCTGGCTGTTAGAAGACTTCGAGAAGCCATGTCAAGATGACACGTTGATCTGCAACACGTTGATCTGCGATAGTCACTCACATTCGAGACAGGTTTGAAGGCACGCCTGGTTGCAGATTTCAACTTAGAAATGAGGCACGCAGTTTTCCGCGCTCTCTTCCCGATGATCAAGCCTGCGCTTTCATCGTCATGGCAAGAAATCACTGAAGACGACTTTCGCAGAGCTGGATTTCAGTTTCAACTGGAGCGGACCATGACCAGAACAGGACTGAGACGAAACATCCTGTTTCCGATTCTTGTCCAGCTCAGTCTGGGAAGATCGCCTACCTTCTTCAATGACAATGGGCAGAAAGCAGTGACTTGACGCGTGGAACGCGTGAGACTCCAGTTCCGGAAGATGAATTATTTCCCATAGGCATGATTCTCTTTATCAATACAATGGCTCTTTTAGGAGCCACCAAATCTGTAAAAGCAATGATCAACAGCTACAAACATTCCCCTCAATTTGTTACCCATAGCTTGAAATAAAATGTTTCCTTGCCGTTGTGTGAAACCGTTGCAACACTTCAACTTTCAAGTATAATACAACTCGGTTACCAAGATTGGCTTAACAAAATATCACCGCCAAGAGTTTAGTTACAAACGAAGGAAGGGTAACACTAACAACCGGTTTCGCTACCTGCCAAGTTCGTTACGTTCGAGTTCGCTTCATGTTTGCTAGCCACTGAACTTCGGTTCGCTAGCTATATAATTCGTGTTTGCCACTATCGATAAACTAAAACTTCCCGAAACAAAAATATATAGGCCTAAGACTTAAACGAGCACATAGATTATTCCTCATTCTTTCATCCACTGCCGAGCCAAACCCGGTTAGCCGATGAAGCGAACACCACAGGTATTGAAACCAGCGTAAACCCTGGAAAGATTGAAATCTCAGTGAACGTTTATAAGACTGAAGTGAAAATGGGAGGCATGAAAGTGAATTCGGAGAATGATACTTTGAGGCAAATGGCGGCAAAGTCCGTTCTTCAAATTAGATTCTCCCAGTCTAGTGTTAGAAGAGAAAGGTGATTTTTCATGGGCCGATGGCAAACTGTGCAGAGTGAGCAAGAAATGTTTAGTCTGTGAAGTATATATGAAATAAAAATAATTCATATTGAACTGCGGTAGTAGATGAAAGTGAAGTATGATCATCGCAGTAAATTTTCCAATTTAAGCAACTGGAAAGAAGAAGTCT